AATTTCATGATTTGACAAATATACTTTTGGACTGACAAGTAGTTAAATCTGAATGACTTAAGTCTAGATTCTTGCTCATAGATTCAAACTTTAATCATGTTTTTATACTAAGTGAATTAGTTTGCTCATTTTACCCAACAGATTTTGTAAAAGACCTGATGATTTACATTTACTTTTTTGTACCTAACTAGACCTGAATAAATGAGGTAATAATTTAAATCATAATTACTTTATCTACTGATATAATTATTTCCTTAAGACAAATGATAATTCCTAATCAAATTATGTCAATTTTGCAAGCTAAACATGCAAGTTGTCCCTCAAAATGTAAGAACCTGAATTTTCATTGTACTGTCTGAAACTTTTTTTTTTTTAATAGCACTTTATAATAAAAATAAGGAAAAATACCCTGCCAACAGTTTTGAAATCTTAATGAAACTTTTTCTTCTTTTAATGGGTTAGTAAAACTTAGAAAATGAAATATGATGTGACCAAAAAAAAAAAATTTTATTGGCTCCATTTCATTTGGAGTAGAGATTTAGGACTATAAGTGGTGAAAATGTGTGATATATCATCCACTTCCTTTCTCTTATCTTCCTCCTTGGATAGGGCTTAAAAGAAAACCAGTTGTCATTCTAAAAGAATATTTGGGCTTTATGACTTGTGTAGCTGTTGGTGAGCCAAAGCATTATATCTATAATTTTTACTACCTTCAGATCCTCTCCTCTTCATATTTAACTTCTAGAAGGTTCCCTCTCCCAATCCATTATTGTTGTTTTTAGACTCCACTAGACTAGCTGTTGCCTCTTCCTTTTATATAAAAGAAAACCTCACATTTCAGCTTGCAGGGTCAAAGTTTGTCCCAAATGGCTTTTCCAAGCCATAATTCTATTTGTCAGGATCACTTTACTTGATGATACCCCAAAGCTAAAATATCTTAATGCATAATTCATTTACAGGTTTAATTTCTTTACTAGTCACCACGCATAAGACTAGCTTGTAGGTGACTTCTTTTTGACTCTTGCTTATTCATTTCCACCCATAATGTCAAGAAGTACCATTTGATGGATGGGCACAACTTAAGACACTTACACCTGAATTTCCTGTTCTTACCTACTTTTATCACTTTCATCCACTATATCTATTACAACATAATCTTTGTATTTTGCAAGCACTTTTTGTAGCCATGATACAGTGATTGCTTCAGAAATATTACATAAATAATTTTAACAAATACTTTTATAGGATTGATAGTCTCAGTTTTTAATAACTGAACATAGACATTTTAGGTATTCGATGGAAATGATCTCCAATTTCGTATGTCAGAACAATACAATGTTTATATTTTTCAAAGACGAAACATGAGGTATTCTGATGTCTCTAAAAAATATAAATATTGTATTCTCGATTCTTGGTGTATTCATTTATAGGCTAAATACATAATTCTTACCTGTTATAAAGAATCAGTATTCATTTCTTATATATATTTCACTTGAAGTAATATATACAACAGAATGCTGAAAAATTTTGGGCCCAACCCACTTCCCAAAATATGACCAAATTTTTATTCATTTAATTTTTTTTATTTTATTTTACGGATTTGATCTGGCTGAGAAATTTTTAGAACCTCCCACCTCTGTGTTCCACTTTTATAAATAATATTCCATTTAATAAGCCAGTATCTGGAAATCTTTTCACTCTAATCATTGCACATATGGTAAATAAGTTCTAGTAGTAGCAGGGGACACTGAATCTATATTGTCATACCGAGTATATTTGAACTCGGTCTCTAGGTGCAAATTTAGTTTTTCTTATGAATACCTACTGACTTTACCAATACACTACCACTCACTTGTTTTTCATCATTTGTTTTCTGTACTAGTAAACTAAATATTTTTACCAGTAGAAAAATTGATTAAACAACGAATTTCTAAATTTCTAACAGTTTTGATACATTGAGAATCAGAAAAAACAAGTTTATTAGTGGTCAAAAATTAATGCAGGTGTGATTGAACAGGACTACTATATGTAAGATATCTTACTATAGAAATACAGTGAAAAGACATAAAAAGATTGTCAATGGTCAGACATTAAGGAAAGCATTAGACAGAATAGTGCTATATGCATAATGTAAATTTATTGGTAATGAGAAAGTGATTATTGGTCTTGTATTATATGCATAATTCTATACCATTCACTTGGGTTTTAGGCATTAAAATATATATATTTTCAAATTCCAGTCGATTTCATTAGATTCACTTAAAAAAAATACTCTTGAGAAATGTATGAATCCATCTCTTCTCCCCCAGATATGTGTTGAATAACAGAACAGACTGGGTTCTTTAGCCTTGGTTGGCAACCTACTGCAGGAAAAAAATCTGCCTTGTCAGTCATGCATTGAAAAAAAATACATGATCAGCTAAGTTTGTATCACATATGGCCCGTAACTGACTGACTGATACTTATTTTAAAATAAGTGCTGTTCCTTATTACTTTAGCAGTTGCTGTAAACAAAGACAAAAAGTACAATACATTAGCATGTGCATGAGAAAGTAGCTGTGAGAAATCTATAATTTTTGCTATTTTGATTAATATATCTATATTAAGTATATATTTATTTATGCCATATATACATGTTTATAGTATTTACATCATGATCATAACTACTGGTAGTTATTATAGTGGTTTTATAACTCAAAAATAATCCATTCCTGTCTACGGACCATCTGCTTTAATGGACCCCCATTAGTCTGTTGATGAGAGAGGTTTGTATATACAGACTCAGTATCACCCTAAAAGGCAGTTGTTTGTTTGTGTGTATGTATTGAATTATTAATATTTTTTCAGCCATCTTATGGAAAATAATTCTTTTATTCAATCTTTAAAAAATAAACTTCATTGTTTGTTTGTTTTTCTTTTTTTGCTTTATAACTAACATAAAGTAAATAATTTTCAATTAATTTTTATTAAAGCAAAAAACTATAGCAAACCTTATTTTTTCAAAAATTAATTAAAAAATATAGTTAAATTTGTAAAACAAATATTCAACACGACTAATGTTAGCCGTAAGTCATGTCTGTCTCTCCTAATTTTTATTTAACTAAATTTCTCCTTTTTTTTTTTTTTTCAAATACAAATATAACTTGAAGTTTAAACAATGTTTTTCAAAACTAAATTCTCAATGTATCTATCTTGCTTCTACTCTTTCAAATTAGTAATTAAATTCATTTAGAGAAATATTTGCTAATGTAATGTTTAAAAGTAGACCCCTCCCCCACAAGCAGTAGTGTGGTATTTTCCTAAATTTAGTTATTTTGTAACAAACCAAAAAAACAAGCATATTTTTTAAAGATTGAATAAAAAATTATTTTCCATAAGATGGCTGAAAAAATATCAATAAATTCTCAATAATAAATTATTATTCAGAGATCTTCCAAGCAATGCCAGGTATCCCTGCTAGTATATATATATATATATATATATATATATAATATAAAATGTGTGTGTGCTTGTAAATCTTTTTTTCTTCTTTAAAACCATGCTGTATTCAACTTGTTCTTTTTCTTCTTCAAAATTACCTTCTGATATATTTTTTCCCTTTCTCTTATGTTAGGGATCTGATAAGATCTATCAATTCCTTACTCTGTACTGCTGTCTATAAATAGATCCTCACATTCATTTACCATTTTCATTTTAATCCTCCTACTGTTGACATTTCCTCAGTTAAAAGGGCGTTTTAATTGTAGTTGTCTGTTCAATATATTTCTACTGTTATAATTTATCTGATGTTAAAAAGCAAAACACTAAATCTTTTTGAAAAATAACAAAAATTATCTTCAGATTCTTTTTTTTCTTTTAACTAAAAAGATGCTCCCCAACTTATATTCAAACCCCCAAATATTCCATGTCTAATATTTTTCTATCCCCTGACCTCTTTTCTTCCATTATTTTCATCTTTTTCTTCTATCACTTTTGTTTCTTTCATTTTGAACATTTAGTAAATCCTAATACTTTATGTATTTTCATTACTTTCATTTCCAAGCTTGTTCTCATAACAGCCAACTTGCCTCCCTATTTTATCTATTGGCTGCAAAACAGATTTTGATATTTAACCATTCTTTTAAATTTAAGTCAGAATAATATTACTTTTTTTTTCCATGTCATTTCATTTTGCATTGAAACTGTCCCAATTAAAATTGAAAATGATTTCCAAACTAAATATTAAATATATAAAAATATACAGTTCTTATTAATGAATTTGTAATTGAATCTATCCATTTTAATTTTTCTTTGAATTGTATTTGTAACAAAATTCCAAAACTTAGAAATCTCATTCATTCTTGCTTATTTTATAAAATAAGTTTTTAAATGTACCTTATTTAGTTGTTAAAATGAAAACCCTAGTACTGGAGCTCCAGATGTAATTGAGAAGTATGTTATAGATTTCTTGACAATTAGTGAACATTAATTTAAATAACATTGAAACTGATTTTTTTAGATCCTTTAAGAACTTACATGTTTTAGAAGTTAGAAAACTTCAGAATTTTGTTTCTTTACTAGGTTTAAAAAAAAAATCTATTTTTGTTTTTCTTTCTGCAAAAATGCAATTTATATCCAAAATGCTATACAAAATATTTAGTTGTTTCATATTGGAGAATTCTATGTAAAAATTTTTATTAGAATTTTTGATGGCATTCCTGTTTTTTTCCCATATTAGAGCAATGGTTTTTACAATATGTGTCTAATATTTATTAAAACTAATTATTGATTAATGCTGATTTTTTTTTTTTTTTTTTTTTTTTTGTAAAATTGCAGGTTAAGCCAAAGTGCTTAATGATTTATTGACTTTGCAATATTGTTTGCCAAGCATAAAGTTGCACAGACCAACTCTTCATGGTTTGGGTGAACAGGAAAGGTCAAAAGAGATGATTCTAATACCACTAAATGTCCCCCTTTTTTCTTTTTTTTTTTTTTTTTTTTTTCTTTTTGCTCTTACCTAGGATTTAGTTAGACGGGTACGACAACTGGAAGCGCACGTTTCCCAGTTGCGGAACATAATCCTCAAGAATGATGACAAGAAGGAGAAAAAGAAAGATCGGAAAGCACGTCTCTTTGATTTCTCCAAGTAAGCAATTTTTTTTTCTCATTTCCCCACTCCCCATCCCACTCTCAATAAATCTCTAGGAGAAATGTTTCTCATTAGTAATAAGTCTATTGCATGAATCAAAAATTAAGATTTCAACGAGACCTTTTATATACTGGTCTCGCGTTTCTTTAAGGGGAAAATTTTACTTTACTTTTAGTAAAATTATCCCAAGCTAAGGTTACTTTATTTATGGAGTTTTTACGGAGTTTGGTTGAAATCTACTGGAGAAAATTAAAAAAAAAAAAAGTACATGTTCACAATCTATATATTAAAGAGATAACTTAAAAGACAAATTTATCAGCATAATTTATTTCAGTGTTTATATTATTTTAAAAAAAAAAAAAAAAAGCATCTTTTTTTTATGCTTTATAGGCTAAATAGAAAACCCAAATGAAATTATAAAGACATAAAGACAAAAATCACTGATATATATATATATATATATATATAATGTGTGTCTCCATAAAATGAAGTTCCCTTTTGATTTAGCAATTATGATTTCTTGAGGAGGCAATCATAACAATGGTTAGTATTAAACTTTCAGAAATTGACATTGATGAAAAACTAAAAACATTTTTATAAAATTACAATTTTTGTTTCTTCTTATGTCTAATAATTGCATACAGTATTGTTACAAGTTAATCTACAATGTCATATTACAAAGATTGAGCTTTATTTATTTTTTTATTTTTTTTTTTTTTTTTTGCATTAACCAGATATAATACCAGACATGTAGCTTTGAAGGTTGCCTATCTGGGATGGGACTATCATGGATTTGCTGTGCAAGAAGACAATGAGAAAACTATTGAGGCAGCATTATTTGAGGCCTTGATCAAAACCAAACTCGTAGATTCACGGTAAGTCTTAGTGCCCCACCCCAATGCAGTTTACTGCACCCAAACAGGCAATCTACTAAAAGTGATAATCTGTAGGCATTTTGCTTCAAGCAAAATGGAATGCCTTATGTCATTTGTTTCAAGTAGAATGAAGTAGATATATGCTGTTAAATCCCCCTTGGTAAGATACAGGAAAAAGAAAATGGAAAGTTTTGAAATAGTAAAATATATGTGATTAATGTGAGTGAAAGTTTGTGACTTAGCTGGTTGATGTTACCTTCAGCATCCCAACTCCAAAGTTTTATAGGCAGACCTGTCCATCCACTCTTCAGTGGGGTGTCATGCACACTGTGTGTGTGTGTGTGTGTGTGTGTGTGTATAAATAAAACTAAATACCAAAATTCAATAAATGTATTAAATGTGTCTCTTAAGATATCATTGAATTCATTTCCAAGTCTTTTGAACTTAGAAAAATACCCGTACTTTTTTTATTTTTTTTAACAATTACATGGAATATGTACGTTAATCATATTTCCAGTATCATCTGTATTTTTTTTTCTTCTGTCAGTTTAGCAGTTGAAAAATTCTAAATATCAAAGTATAAACTGCATTTTCTTTGTGTTTTTTTCTCTCTCTCTCCCCTCATTCATTTCCACTTGCCTACATTTTTTTTCTTTTCTAAGCTTCCCTCCAAAAATACCTTTCCCCCATGCATCCAAGACATCCAATTTTAGTATAACAATCTATCTATTCACACCTTTTACCATCTCCAAGACTCTGCATTCTTACCTTGTCGACACTTTTCTCACTCACTCTCACATACACTTCTACAACATTGCTCCCACCTGCCTACACATGTAACAAGCAACTTACAAACCATGTGTAAAAAAAAAAAAAAAAAAAACACCTTTTGACCTTATGTACACATGCATTCCCTAAACCACCTATGCAACTCCTTAGTCATAGCAAGTTCCTTTCTACTTAAAAAGCCCTTCTACCCAATGCAACAACCCATGTAGTTTACACACTGACTACTCACCTCACCCCAATCCAAATCCACCAGCTCCCATGCTCCGGCTACTTGGCCTACACAGTTTTATTCAAAAATCACTTTGTGTATTATCCAAACAGATCTATACCAGCCCCCCTCTTCATCTTTCTCACATCCCACCACCCCATTTTACCAACATCTTCTCTTCTTCACTCATTCTGTTTCTTTCTCTCACCTATGCACTGACACTTGATCATAAACCTCAAGCCAAACAAATTTTGTTGTTACTTGTCTGACTACTAAAAATTGCGCATTGACTAAGACATCCTCAACACACTAGCTCTAGAGGTAATATTTGTACTATAAGGTTATTACAAATTTTTACTTACTGACCACAAAGAGGAAAATGTTAGCTTTTTTGTATTTTTGTTTTGTTTACACAAACTTTCTTATGTGGACAACCATTTTCAGAAATAGTTAAATTGGCTATGAAGTTGTGTCATATCTATTTTGATAAAATTACCTAATCTAGGATCAATGGAATATATAAATTGTTATTATAATGTATTTAATTCTTACTTGGTATCCTACTATTTCTATGGCAGGATGATTTAAGCTTAGTAAATATCTGGCATATTCCTCTGTTAAAATCTAGTACTCTACCATCTTAAAATAACTATGCAATTGATGAGTCAATTATTTTTACTTGTCTACTTGGTTGAAAATTGATATTAAAGGAAGTAAAGAATCTTGCTACTCATATTTAATACCTGAATTTCTTTGATGAATCATTTTCGGTTATTAATTTTTTTTTTTTATTATTTCTTTTATCTTAATTTCTGCTGATTTTCTTGTAACTCCCAAATTATTTTTCTATGTCATATTTATGTCTGATCAGCATGGGCCAGACATAAAGAATAAACCATTGGCAAGAACTAACTTCACATCCCTTCTTCTTGTGATTTCAGTACTTACGAGTATATTTCCAATTTGTGTTACAAATTAATCATAGAATGTTAATCTGGCAGTTTTGAATTAAAAAGCAACAGAAATGAAAGAAATACTAGTCAAAAATTTAGGCTATTTTGAAAATATTTTTTAATCTTTCTTTTTTTTTTTTTTTAAATTCAATGTCGCGTCATTTCTTATTGAAAGAATTTATATTATGATTGTTTGCAAACAAATACATAAGAGGAGCTAATCTGTAATTAGCCAAACTCCCAACTACATTTAACATTGGCTTTATATTTCTATTAATCCTTAATAAGCAGGAGTGTAGTGTTAAATAATTTTAATCATATATGCTTATGATTTACAAAAAAATGTTTTTTGTAATCATGGAAATAAAGATTAGGAAAAGAAAATGAAAATAATAATTTTTGCATGAAACCATGATACTAAAATGCTGTTTAGTAAAAACAAATGTTATTTTATTTTTTTATTTATTTATTTATTTTTTATTTTTTTTAAAGATATTATTTTATGCAGCAGTTTGTCATATTTTCATTTCTTTTCTTCTTTCAACATTGACATGATTTTCTTTTAGCTTTTGTAACACACACAAAGAAAAGTCAAATCATTCTCTGGGTGAAAATGAATGCTGACCCTCAACACTTAAGTTGCAAATTGAGCTGGAAATTGCTTTATTGAATATTTTAATGCTATTGTGCTAACAAGAATCTTACTATGATGCGCAATTCTTTTTTTTTTTGCTGTCTTAATGAACACAAATAAAAAAATTTATCATTGCTGCTACAATAAAATTCCTTGGAATTAAAAATAAGTAAAACCATCTTGAGAAACATTTAGTCTTCATAGTCATAGCATCTTCAAATTGAACTAATATAGCTTCCCTAAAAGACTAGAACATTTTTTACCAGACCCAAGGATTCAAATGTGAGATAAAGCATTTAACAATTAGAATTGTTTAAAATGATTCCCCAAGGCTTATTCATTATTGAGGTTTACATCAAGAAGCTAGAAATGTTCACATCAATAGGTAATCAGAAAAATTACATTAGATCTTGCTTAGGAGTAAATAATTCACTACAGTGTAAATGGCATAAAAGGAAAAATTAAAAACTTTTTGTTAAATATTTTCAATCAACTACTGATGATGTTCTCCTTATCAAACACCAGTAATTTATCTGCTGACTACAGACAGAAAACTGAAAAGTATGATAGACATTTTTACCATTTTGGATATCATAGATTTTATAAGTGTTGAATTGATTGCTCCAAACTTTTTGAAATGAGTTTTCAGTTGTAAACTTCAATACTTAGAATAGTGACATTCAGTCTTCTAGAATCTCTTTGGTTACTGCTGTTATATGACAATGCAATGTCAGTATTTCACTAGTTTTACAGTAGAATTGTTGCATGTCTGCAGCTTTCCAAAAATTAGCAGTAACTGCAATACACAACCTCTTTTTTTTTTTTTTCTATTCTTACATTTATCAATATTTACAAAAAGAGATGCACTTTAGGTTCT